TGTAGGACTTCTAATTGAACACATCAATTTAGTCCTGGCTGGGCCTAGCACATAAGTCAACACCAAATCATCGAGGGTCCCACATATATCGCTTTTCCCGTTAGGGCAAAAGGAACGAATAAATGTTGACTCATATGCTTGTATCTTTTTACTCATCAAATTATACATGACAATACGTTTTATAACACCAAGTTACTGATGCGTTTTTGTATCACCAATGCATGACCGACTCGTAAATTACAACTCATATTTCTCCGCTTCAAGATTATAAGATATTATCGTCTCAGTATTACTCGTGATGAATTCCATGAAGTAATACTCTGAGCGAGGGTTTATCCAATACTCAAATCTCTATTTCTAAGTACTCATGAAAATTGCAGCAATTCTATTGCTATGTCTAACTCCCTTAGACAATCTGCAATCCAATTCATGACAGTCTTAATTCACTACTTACTTCCAAAAGTACGAGCGACTGTGGAGTTTGAATAATCATATTATTCGGGAAGTAAAACATGCAAAATATGAAACACAATAATAAACAATTGACAAGGACAGTAAACAAACTCATAAATAATACTTTATTATTTAATCACCAAAAGTCAATTATATTTACTTTGTTACAAGTTTCAGAACAAAAATAATCTAACTACTAAAACTAATATCATCTCTCAGTCCAATGCTCCGAGCATGTTGAATATGCTTAACCCTACTCAGACCCTTTGTGAGGGGGTCTGCTGGGTTGTCTTCAGATGATACCCTCTTTACAACTAGATGGCCTTCTTCTACTCTATGTCTTATGAAATGGTACTTTCTGTCGATATGTCTGGTTTTACCATGATCTCTGGGTTCCTTTGTTAAGGCAACCGCTCCTTTCCATAGGCTCCTGGATGGTTGGAACAACTCCGAGATCTCCAATGAAGTTCCTTAACCAAGCTGCTTCTTTCGACGTTTCACTCGCTGCTATGTACTCTGATTCACAAGTAGAATCAACCACCATATCTTGCTTGGAACTTTTCCAAGTAACTGCTCCTCTATTCAGTAAAAATACCCAACCTGATTGAGAACGGAAGTTATCTCTATCCGTTTGAAAGCTGGCATCACTGTAACCATCTATTCTCAAAGTATCTTTGCCACCAAGTACAAGGACCCAGTCCTTTGTCCTTCGCAAATACTTGAGTATATTCTTAACCGCTATCCAATGAGCTCTACCCGGGTTTCCCTGATAGCGACTGACCATGCTCAAAGCAAATGCCACATCAGGGCGAGTACATGTCATAGCGTACATGATCGATCCGACAGCGGAAGCATAAGGTACACGACTCATGTCAGCTATTTCCTCATCTGTACTCGGGCATTGAGTCTTACTCAATTTGGCATTGCTCTGGATATGTAGCTCTCCCTTCTTGGAATTTTCCGTACTAAACCTCTTCAGTACCTTATCCAAGTATGTGCTCTGACTAAGTCCAATTAGTCTCTTCTTTCTATCTCTCAATATTCTAATCCCAAGAATATAGGAAGCTTCTCCAAGGTCTTTCATGGCAAAACACTTTCCAAGCCAAGACTTAACATCTTTCAAGGTTGGAACGTCGTTACCAATGAGCAATATGTCATCGACATATAATACTAGAAAAGTTACTATACTCCCACTAGCCTTGATATACACACAAAACTCATCTTCACTTCTAGAGAAACCAAACTCTTTGACTTTCTCATGGAAGCAGAGATTCCAGCTGCGAGATGCTTGTTTTAATCCATAAATGGACTTCTCAAGCTTGCACACTCTATTGGGAAACTTTGCATCAACAAAACCCTCTGGTTGATTCATGTAAACATCCTCAGCCAACTTCCCGTTAAGGAAAGCAGTCTTGGCTGATTCGTGTTGACTATTTCCTCTTGTCAAACCCCACTATAATACATGCTTCTTACTTGAGCACGTGTTAAAATAATACGTTAGGTTATGAAGCATCGTGAGTTACAAATATGTAAGACATCTTTAAAAATAATGTATAGATAGAACCAAAAATTATATAATGAAAAACAAACCATTGTTCATTTCAAAACTTCTTTTGTACTTCTTTTAGGCCTCTTTTAAACTTATTTAAACATATTTAAATTTCTTTAAACGTATTTAAGTTTCTTTTAATACTTCTTTTAAGAAAAAACATTACACATAATTCAAACACTTTAATAAAGAACAAACTCAAAGAACATACATTATATGTATTGAAATATGATGCTACTCTTATAGGACTCCTAAGGCATATCTCTATTGAAAGATGGTTAGATAGAAGATGCCATCATGGTTGGCACAAAGTATTACCAATTAAGAAGAGGCTCAAATTTCTTTAAGTTACGTAACATATGAACCATCACATGAAAAGTTTGCAAGACCCAACATGCTGTGAATGCCTTTTTAGAAGGGAAATGATTCGTACACAACAGTTTTTTGTCATACACAACAATTCATGCATTATATAGTTGTATAATACAACATTTTAAAGCACCAATTGTTGTGTATGGAAAAAAATTGTTGTGTACGGATCAGCTTCCAACGACAACCCAACTTTTATAAATTTTGATTGGATATCAAGACTTCATTTAAGTATTCATAAATCATTAGATACTAACCTCCCCAATATAAATGAATGCAACATGATCATGATTTATGCGGTAATAAATATCAAGTCTTCATTTTTAAAAGTCTTCCTCTTCTAAAAAAATCTTATCATTTTAATTGTAATAATGTATATATTATCCCAAAAAAAAAGAGAAAAAAACGCAATAGAAAATTAAATAAATATCTTATGGGGACATGGCATCCGGGTCCTGAAGTCGAAAACGGATATCTACGTCCAAGGACTACAAAACAAACACGTTCTCACCCATTTCACTTTTTTATTTTCACGATTTTAATTTAAGGGATAATTTAATATATATCCTTACAAACTTTAAATATTACTTATATATCCTTACAAAATTTAAAACTACATATATATCCTTAGAAAACTATAAAATTCACATATATATCCAAACTCATATTTTAATTTGGATTAAATCATTAAACTAATTTAATATTGAAAAATATATCTAAACTTTTAAAATAACATATGATATTACTAAACTACCCTTCCTTAATTAAAGATTAGTATTTAACCATTTAATAGTGAAAAGCTTCAAAACTCCTTTTTCTCCTCTTCAAAAGTTGTTTTTCTCCATTAATGAGATCATAGTTTCACATATCATTTTTTATTCCCACCAATAGATCACCAAGATCTCCATATATATATATATACACGCCATTTTTTATGAATATCTTTAACATAAATTTGTGTTAATGGAATACAAAGAAGCAAATGCACAATAAACAGAAAATATTTCCTCTGTAAATATGTGGATCCACAACTTAAGAATGGCACGACCTCGAAATAGACACACTAAACCATAACAGAAGGTTGATGACTTAAAGTGAAAATCGTCAGCCAATTGTTAGCCTTCACCTTCACGCATGAGCAAATATTTCCCTTTACGTACTACATGAACGTAACTCCCACCCATCGCTCTTTCTCTCTCTATAAAATATCTTTTTCTCTTAGCAATCAATATATAGATCATATCTAAACAAAACCCAATAAAACAGCAAAAGCATCAGATTTGTTTATAATAACTATTTAATTTGGTTGCTTTTTTTATGCAATGAAGCCTAAGAGAAAGACCCACATAACACAAAGTACAAACCCAAGCACAATATTACGCTTTAAGAGAAAATGTAATTTTCAATCTTTTTTCGTCGAGGGTTATCAATGATGCTAATGGTTTTTCTGGTTATGATCTACATAAGATAGTGAGTTCTCTCTATTGCGAACCAAAATTAATAGAACAATAATTAATTGAATGCAAAAACATTAATCGAATGGAGTAGATGATAAACTATTGCGATGAAGAAGAGGGGTTGTTTATAGAATCTACAATGAGAAAGAAACGGACATGAAGTTTTTGGCACACACGATTTTTTTTAATTAGCTTTAGTCCTAATCTTTAATTTAGTAAAGGGTATTTTAGTAATATCAATGAAAATTTGTATTTTAGATAAGATTTTAATATTAAATTTATCTAATCCTAATTAAATTATGAGTTTGGATATAAATGTGAGTTTTATATTTTCAAAAGGAAATACATGTAATTTTAAAATTTGTAAGGATATAAAAGTAATATTCAAAATTTATAAGGATATAAATGAAAATTTCCCTTAATTTAATTTCCCCTCGATCACATATTCTTCAACTATTGGCGTATCCTGTACAGATTGAGAGATGATTACAATTGCGTAGAATAATTATATAACATTTTATATATATAGATATATATATATATAGATATATATATATATATATATATATATAATTATATAAGTATATTTTTTTAATAAATATTATTATAAATAAAAAACAATTATAAATTAATTAATCAACATTGTAATTAAATTGTCAAACAATAAAATTAAAACAATAATAATTATTATACATATTTAACTATTAAAACTAGAACGATAAAAATTATTATACATATTGTAGTTTTAAAATTTTCATGTTGTAAAATATAATAAATTATTATACAAAAACAAATTTATAAAAACCAATTTATAAAAACGTTCAAATAAATACAATAAATTAATAAGGCTATATAAAATTTGAGTTATTGTTTTGTATCAAAAATTAAAATATTTAAATGTGTTATAAAAGAATAATGAAAATATTGTTAATAATTATAAATAAATTGAAAAACTCCAAAAGTAAAGGGACCATAAGTGTAAAATAGAGAGTTTGTATGTAAAAGAAAAATTAGAAAAAAAAAAAGGCGATTTGATTTATAGGGGGCGGAATAACAGGATGTGATCGATCACATATTCTTCAACTATTGGCGTATCCTGTGCAGATTGAGAGATGATTACAATTGCGTAGAATAATCTGGGCTCCGATTTGATTTCAATACGTTGACGAAACATGTATCAATGGAGGAAATTCGAGTTCTTTGAGGAGAAATACGCCGGAAAAATGTTTGGTCCCGGATGAAGTCGCTGGAAAAATCGAGTGTTGCTCCAGCGGAAGGGGGAAAATCGCGGTGGGATGTGAAGATGGGACTGTTAGTTTACTAGATCGAGGTTTTAAGTTCAGCTATGGATTCCAAGCTCACACTTCCTCTGTTTTATTCATTCAACAACTCAAGGTTTTTTCATCGCTCTCTGTCTATAATTCCTGATTACCCATTTCCCCATTGTTGATCACGTTGTACGTGAATTTAGCAATCTAGAACACATTTGTGCAGAATTACGGTTCTAGGTTTTCCTATACAGAATGACATGAAATTAGGTTTTCTAAATCCGGTTACCTTTGTTGATAGGAATGAATTCAAGATCAAGAAACAAGATAAGAAATTGTAATATCTAGAAGAATTTTACAGCTTTGGTTATACAATTTCCTCTGATCTTCTTATCTAATGGTTAATCATGCACTTTCAAAGATGTTTTTCTTGCTCCATCTATTCCTGACATAGCTAACACTATCAAGGAAGAAGATACACAGCTTTGTTATCTAAGTATGTAACAAGTCAACACTAGAAAGTTTTAATCTTTTTCCATTTTTGTTGTGAATTGACCAGCAACGCAACTTCCTACTAACTGTTGGAGAAGATGAACAAATATCTCCACAATTATCATCTGTATGCCTCAAGGTTTTTGACCTAGATAAAACTCAACCAGAGGGTACAAGCACACCAATTCCTGATTGTATCCAAATACTACGAATATTCACAAATCAATTCCCAGAAGCAAAGGTTGAAATTTTATACTTGTAACATTTCTTGTAAACATTATGGGTAAATGTAATTGGAATTGTTTCTATTGTTGTTGTTGTTGTTGTTCAGATAACATCATTTCTAGTTCTAGAAGAAGCTCCACCAATATTGCTGATAGCTATTGGACTAGACAATGGTTGCATTTATTGCATCCAAGGTGATATTGCACGTGAACGTATCAAACGATTCATGCTTCAAGTGGAGAAAAGTCAAGATAAATCCCAATGTGGTATTACTGGAATGGGTTTTCGTGTTGATGGGAAAGCTTTTCATTTGTTTGCAGTTACTCCAACTTCTGTAAGCTTGTTTAACTTGCAGACTCAGCCAGCTGGTCGACAAACCCTAGATCACATTGGGAGTAATGTGAATAGTGTTGCCATGAATGATCGCCTGGTATGCTATTTCTTTACTCTCATCTGTATATTGTTATTGTTTATCTATTGTTTTAAGCATAAAAGTATTGCAATTTGGTGTTAATTATTAGGAGCTTATCATTGGTCGACCTGAGGCAGTATATTTCTATGAAGTTGATGGTAGAGGTCCATGTTGGGCTTTTGAAGGAGAAAAGAAGTTCCTCGGGTGGTTTCGTGGATACCTGTTATGTGTAATTGCAGACCAAAGAAGTGGCTCAAACACCTTCAACATCTATGACCTCAAAAACCGTTTAATTGCACACAGTATAGTAACCAAAGAAGTCTCCCATATGCTTTGTGAATGGGGAAGCATCCTCCTTATCATGAACGATAAATCGGCTTTATGTATTGGAGAAAAAGACATGGAAAGCAAACTCGACATGCTTTTCAAAAAAAACCTTTACACAGTCGCCATTAATCTTGTTCAAAGTCAACAAGCTGATGCAGCTGCAACTGCTGAAGTTTTAAGAAAATATGGTGATCATTTATACATGAAGCAAGATTTTGATGAAGCCATGAGTCAATACATTCATACAATTGGTCATCTAGAACCTTCTTATGTCATCCAGAAGTTCCTAGATGCACAAAGAATCTACAACCTCACAAATTACCTCGAGAAGCTACACGAAAAGGGTCTCGCGTCAAAAGACCATACTACCCTTCTATTAAACTGTTACACCAAATTGAAAGATGTTGACAAGTTGAATGTTTTCATCAAAAGTGAAGATGGTGAGATTAAATTTGATGTGGAAACCGCGATTAGGGTTTGTAGAGCTGCGAATTATCATGAACATGCAATGTTTGTTGCTAAAAAAAGTGGAAGACATGAATGGTATTTAAAGATTTTGCTTGAGGATTTGGGAAGATATGATGAGGCTTTGCAGTATATTTCTAGCCTTGACCAAAGTCAAAGTGGGGTCACTGTTAAAGAATATGGAAAGATTCTTATTGAGCATAAACCAATGGAAACAATTGAAATCCTCATGGGACTTTGCACTGAAGGGGGGGCATCATATTCCTATATGCTACCTTCACCCGTTGACTTTCTCAACATTTTTGTTCATTATCCAAGATCTTTAATGAATTTTCTTGAAAAGTATATAACAAAAGTCAAAGATTCACCCGCACAAGTCGAAATTCACAACACTTTATTGGAATTATACTTGTCAAGTGACTTAAACTTCCCATCAATGTCGCTAGAAAATGGCACAACAACTACTTCAAATGGAAATGGGAAATTAGTCGAATTACCTAAAGAAGATACAAAAAACATGGAAAATGATCATGAAGAAAGGCTTCAAAAAGGGCTTTTGTTGTTGAAAACCGCATGGCCTTTGGATCAAGAACAACCGTTGTACGATGTTGATTTGGCTATAATCTTATGTGAAATGAATTCTTTTAAAGAAGGGCTTTTGTATCTTTATGAAAAGTTGAAACTTTATAAAGAGGTGATTGCTTGTTACATGAGGTCACATGATCATGAAGGCTTGATTGGTTGTTGTAAGAGGTTAGGGGATTCAGGGAAGGGTGGTGATCCGACTTTATGGGCTGATTTATTGAAGTATTTTGGTGAATTAGGTGAAGAATGTTCAAAAGAAGTAAGAGAAGTTTTGAATTATATTGAAAGAGATGAGATTTTGCCTCCTATTATGGTTTTACAAACACTTTCTTCAAATCCATGTCTTACTCTTTCTGTTATTCGGGATTATATTGCTAGAAAATTGGAACATGAGTCAAAGCTTATTGAAGAGGATCGTCGCATGATTGATAAATACCAGGTTTGTTTTTTAAATTTTATAAAGATTTTAATATAGTTAAAATTCATTTCCATCATAATATTAATACCTAATCTATATCTTTGAAATCTACTACAGGGAAGAAACATTGACAATGAGAAAAGAAATCCAGGATTTAAGAACAAATGCAAGAATCTTTCAACTAAGCAAATGTACTGCTTGTACTTTCACACTTGATCTGCCAGCTGTCCACTTCATGTGTATGCATTCTTTTCATCAACGTTGTCTTGGAGACAATGAAAAAGAATGTCCCGAATGTGCCCCTGAGTACAGATCTGTTGTTGAAATGAAAAGAAACTTGGAACAAAATTCCAAGAATCAAGATCAGTTTTTCAAGCAAGTTAAGAATTCAAAAGATGGATTTTCAGTAATTGCTGAGTATTTTGGAAAAGGGATTATTAGCAAAACTAGTAAAAAGGAATCAGGAGGATCTTTAAATTCAAACGCTAATTCCACCCGTGGTTTCTGAGCAATCTTTTGTTGGTTTGTTTGTTTGTTTGCATTTCGTTTTGGAACCGGAATGAGTGATTCCGGAGATGATACACTGATTTGTTTTCACTTTTGTGTTTGTAAACATTTGAAAGGTTTTGGTGTTTTAATTATGAACTTGTCTTAACTCTTATGTATGTTTGTGACATTCATTTGTTATTTGAGCATTAGTTGGATGATATATGTACTCCAAAAGATGTTAGATGTTGATGAAGAACAGAAATTCGGGTTTGATGAAATCGGATCAAACAGAGAAAATTTTGAAAGAAAGAAGATGATGAAATAGAAGTAATATATTGAACGATTACACAATCTGGGATTAAGCTAGAGCCGATACTGAGTATCAAAATTACATACAAAAATCTAAGACATCCCCTTCCCGCTCTGTGACCTTTCTCTTTATTTATTATAATCCTAGCCATAGCCAACCTAGATGAATTTCCTGTTTTACCCTTTATTGGGCCTTCTATATATATATATATATATATATATATATATATATATATATATATATATATATAATAGTATTTGGGCCAATTAATTCTAGATTCCTATCATTATCAAAAAAAGTCTTGTCCTCAAGACTTGTGTTAAGAAATTGGCTTCCTCCCCTGTGCTGTGGAGTAACCAGCATTCAACTTTTTTCCAATAAGTAAGATGATTGAACGTATAACAAGTATAGCAATTTCACCTGTTCAAAGAGAGAAGTCATTGCTTTTGGTACACAATTAGTGGATTCCGACCATACTTAAGATTCTCAGATGTAAGCTTCCTGAAGTTGGAAGCATACCAAAACATAGCCCAAACAATTCCATTTGGCCACCAATGGAAGATGATGACTCACTGATTCCATCACTGGATAGAAACTAGATAACTCTCCTTGACTACATGGATGAGCCAACACTCCTTGACACCTCAAGCATATTGCTAACTTTGATCAACCGAGCCAAACCCTTCCTAAGACCATGTCTAAACGTCCCTCATCACATATCCATGCATCCAAAATATATTCATAGTTAATTACCCAGTACATCCGTTGCTGATCAATATGGTCTTCCACTCGCTTGATGTTAATTCCAAAACAACCAGGCAGAATGAAATATACTTTGTAGTAGTATAACCAAGAAGCCTTCGGTGATAAGACGATCAATAATTCGGGACTTGTCGATTTTTGCCACTAGAGTAGAGACCAATTACAAGTTTCATTCAACTTTGAAAGTTGAATTATAGAATTTAACCCCCTCTTTTAACATCCTTGTATAAACAGCCCATAACTCACCTTCTGCCACAAAGCTTGAATTTAAAGAAACTATTTAGAGTTAAAAGTACCTTCATCACAATGTTTGGAATATGACAGGGATATAATTCTATCACCACATGAAAGTACCTTCATTGGGGTATGAGGATTATTTAGGTTGCTGGGTATCTTGTTTTGTGATTTGATTAGTCCTAGTGATATGAAACTTCTGAAAAGAAGGGTGTTTGAGGGTCATCAGATTGTCCCAGATCGAGTCTAAGTCTCAACATTTCATTACTACCATGCTACAGTGTATTTCCTTTCCTCCGTATAGTGTTTAAGTTCCTGTTTCCATTTCTTATCCAATATGACCCCATTGACCTGCCTTTGATCTGCCTGTTGTGCATGACCCACCACAAACTCTTAACCCTTTTTTCCTTCCTTCTTCCCAGATCATTACACTTAATGAACTGAGCCGCTCGTGATTTAATGGGATTTCCTTGAAACGAAGGTTTATATGAATTTTGGATTTCAAACCCGTTATAACGTTGTAACGCGTGAAATTGAAATCCATCCCATGTGACTGATTCAGAAATCTGGGTAATACGATGAAGACAAGGATTACCGTGAATGTTGAAATACACTTTTGCCTTCTGCTGAGGGTCGAACCCACAGAACTCGAGTAGCATGATTTTCTTATCCACACAGGGAAAACCCATCAATTCAACTGGAACTGCATCGAGATTGAAAATCGCTAGCCATGTCAGACGTCTCTTCAACCGTTGTTAGTGATAGAAATGGTGGTAGAAACGGCGGTGGTGTTTTGGATTCTAATTCCGACGCATAAACCACCGATAATACTTCATCTCCTGGCGGTGTGTCGCTGCATTCATGATGGACTTCATCCAAAACCATTGGAGATGCCGGCAACGTATCCCTAAAAGTATCATCAACCACCGGTTCTAGTAATTTCCTAATAGGATCTGAAAAATTGCTACCATAGGAGAATTTAGAAAACGTTTTTAGTTAAATCTTATTTATTTTTTGTTTTCCGTTTTTCAAAAATTAGAAAACGCATTTAGATGTGTATATTTCTGTTTTAAAAAATAGAAAACGCGTTTAGACAAGTTCATAAAAAACGGTAGCGGTGGTAGGATGGGGATGGGGGCAGCCGCGGGGGAGAGTGGTGGTGTCAATGATGGCGGCGGTGGTGGTGGTTGTGGCGGCGGTGGTGATGACAGGCAGTGGTGGTGGCGGCTGTGGTGATGCTGGTGATGGGGTAGTGGTGGTGGTGATGGTGATGGTAGGTCGGTGATTGTGATAGTGATGTTGGGTGTGTGTGTGTGTGTTTATAGGGGTGGGTGTGTGTGTGTTTACAGGGGTTGGCTTTGTGTGTGTGTGTGGAAGGGGGGGGGGGGGGGGGGCGTTGACTTTGCGTTTGTGGGTGTGTGTGTGTGTGTGGAGGGGGGGGGGGGCTTGGGAGTGGGTGGGTGTGGGTAGGTAGGGGTGTGGTGGGTTGGAGGTGTAAAGGTGGGGGTAGGTAGAGGTGGGAGTGAGTGGGTGTTTATATTTTAAAAAAAATTTGGAATTAGAAAAATGTGAAAAACAATGATTACTGGTTTTCCAAAAATTTTCAACTTCTTTGTAATTTTAGAAAACGGAGAATTTTCATTTTTCGTGAAAAATTTAGAAAAATAGACGAACTAAACGCGTTTTCAAAATTATCATTTTTTTTTGAATTTTTTTTTCCAGAAAACGGTCTATTTTTCCGCAACTAAATGCACCAGCAGAATCCTGGGGATTCTAAATGCACCATAAATAAAACCGTAATAAATAAGTCAATACCACTTGTAATTAAGTCAAATAAAATTAAAAAATAAATAATTATGGTTAAATGAGTATAGTATCATCACTGCGTCTACTTTTTAAAACTATTTTTAATTTTATATTTAAAATATATTTTTTATACTTATGCTTAAAATAATATAATTTCGGTTGCTAACTATTATTCACACATTTTATTTTTATTTATATATACTATAATATTAAATTAATCATCTTTTATATATATATATATATATATATATATATATATATATATATATATATATATATATATCTATATATATTATAAAAAATAGGTTTTTCATAATCTATCATAATTGTTGTTTTTCAAGTTATTTTTGAGTAGTTTTATATTAATATTTTTTTTTACTTTATTTTCTATATTTGATTAAACTCGTATTAATCTCTGATTATTCCATAGATCAACGATAGACGGTCGTATCGGTCACACCTAGTTGATTGATTTCTATATAGACAAATAATAAAATTATGATATTCGTTATATCGGTGAGACTTAGTTTTTTTTTTCTTTTATTATTATTAACGTCACATGGAAACATATTAAAAAAGACAATTACAATTCTATTTTCAACCAAACACAACTACAATAAATAAAAAATACAGCTTTTATTTACTATAGTTTTGTTAAATACAAGTATAATTTAATTTTATTATGCAACCATTAATGTTAACAATAAAATATGTAATATTAATAATGTATAAAGTACTTCTATTACTTATCATGACCATCAATTATATGAATATTACAATTATTACGTGGTGCATATAATTCTTCCCAGGGCGCCCCCTTCTGTGTTCTACTGCTACTAGTGGCTTCCATTTTTATTGTGTTTCTTTTCTTTTATTTTATTTTGTGTTCTCCTCTTTGATTTGTGTTTGTGTTCAATTATATTTATTTGTGTTAGTTTATGTTCGTTAATCAACTAAACGAACCGAACATAACGAATATGAACACACTAAGTTTCTTAACAAATGAACGAACATGAACATAAAAAAATTGTTTAATTGTTGTTCATTTGTTTAAAGTTAATGTAACACCGTAAATTTTCAAACAAAATTTTCATTTTAAAATCACATAATTCTCGTAACCACTTTTCACAAAAATCCCAAATAACAAGTTATCAAAACACAACTCGATGATTGTTTGATCAAAATACAGGATCCTCCAAACACAACTCTTTCTCTCGTGTGTACAATCGAGTCGGCGCCTTCCCGATATCATGAAAAGTACCTGAAACACATATCACATAACACGGTAAGCACGAAACTTAGTGAGTTCCCCAAAATACCACACACATCTCATTAGCCACTCGATGCTATACTCAGTAAGACCCTCTGGTCAATGTGTCTCAGTAGGACCCTCTGGTCCCACAACTCGGGCGGACCCTCCGGTCCTAACTCAGTAAGCTCAAAATAATACACAACATAAATCACATAGAATACTCAAAGTTTACCTCCCATAATAATGAGATCTAGGCAAATAAATGAGAAAGGTGCAAGCTTTTACCTCCCACTGAAGCCCTTGCATGAAAACACACTAGATCCAATCGTTTCTCTTGCTTCCTTGCTGGATAATCTCCCCTTCTCCTCAAAAGATGCACTAGGATACTCAAATTTTAGCTTCTATGACTCTCTTAGCTCACTACACATGTTTAGGGTTTTACATAGGAAGGTTAGGCAGCTGGTGAGGCGGAAATGAGGACATAAGTTCTCTTATATAGGCCTCAACCCCGAGAAATTAGGGTTTCACTACACAGCACCAACTCGGCGAGTCAGCTCTCTGATTCGTCGAGTCCGTTCAATAATCCCACGCGGTCAACTCGACTCTACTCGACGAGTTGGACTCACAACTCGTCGAGTCACTCAATAAATCTCAAAATTAAACACATAATAATATACATGAGAGTCTGGATGTTACAGTTAAACCAACGAATATAAACAAACATTTATTCATTTATGTGAGGTTAAAATAAAACCATATTGGTATCGTTAATATTAATAAAGCAAAAAGAAAATTTTAAAATTGAGATATTATATGACAATCCCTATAGTAAAGTAGAGATATTATACAAAATTAAGTCGATTTCGTAATTATACAAAATCAATTTGATTATGTAATTATACAAAATAAAATTTAGATATTGGGTGTGTTCGGTAAAAATAATTGGTAGCTAGTACAACTAATTTTTTCCAGCCTTTATAGAGGAAGGTCCAACAACGATGATAACAAAAATGTTTTGAATTTTCTCTCGATTTGATCGTACATATAACATATTTTTATTTAATTATAAATACGCTTATATATAATATTAGGTATAGTTATATAGTTATGAAAAATACTATATCACATCTATTTATATTCAAAAGTAATATATATATATATATTATATATATATATATATATATATATTATATATATATATATATATATAAATGAAAAGAAAAATATAGCCTAAAATAAAAGATTTCTAAATATTACTATTAGCTAATTGAAATAAAAAATAGAAACACTATAATAACTAATCGAAGAAAGAAGGAAAATTAAAATTTCAAAAAAAAAAAAAAAAGAAGACGTCTGAAGAAAAAAGAAAAGGAGAATGTAGTCGCCTAATGGGGTAATAATTACATGTCATTTCAATTTGGGTTTAAAGCAAATCAAGAGTGGTTTTGACTTTGGAAAATGGTTTTGACTTGGGTAAATCGGGTGTGAATAACAACTAAGTCAGCATCGCTTTTTGGAATTCACATTCTTCTTCTCGTTCACGATCCATGATTGTGCGAATCTCATTGATAGTAGCTTGAATCTTCGAAATCTGTTCCGCATGTTGATCTAAACGGAAATCCTGAGATCGAGTATCAACTGTTGTTTGAACCATCCTCCTCAGATGGTAGAGCATGGCAGGTCGGACCAATGATGAAGAACAGAAACTAGGGTTTGATGAAATCAGATCAAATAGAGAAAAATTGAAAGAAAGAAGATGATGAAATAGAACTAATATATTGAACGATTACACAATCTGTGATTGTTCCAGGGGAAACCCCTCTCTCGTAGCCCAAAGCTAGAGCCGATACTGAGTATCAAAATTACATACAAAAATCTAAGACATCCCCCCTCTGTGACATTTCTCTTTATTTATTATAATCCTAGCCATAGCCAACCTAGATGAATTTCCTGTTTTACCCCTTATTGGGCCTTCTAGATATAACTCTTGCTTTAATAGTATTTGGGCCAATTAATTCTATATTCCTATCAGATGTAGACATGGGGTGAAGGATGTTACATCTAGACAATTTTATCTCCACACCAAAGGTTTAGTTTTTTGCAAAACTAAGGTAAACTTATAAAAATTTTGCAAAAAATAAGGTAAACTCATATCATTTTGCAAAAATGGGATATAAATTGATTCTGCCCAAACCAAATTCGTTTATGTTTTGGTCAAAAGTCAATTTAATAACTTTGTAATCAAATTAACATGTGTGATGTGATCTTTTGTGTGAAGGTTCAAAGAAAGTAAAAGATGTTGAAAAGCATTGTAGATTTTGAATATGATAAGGATCTTTTAAACAGAAATGCGAATAAGTGTTGTATGGGTTTTATCGCATAAGTGTTGCATGGGTTTTGTCTGGTTAGTATATTTAGAATCTTAATTGTATCTGGAATGTAAAAAGAGATTTATTGTAGATAATTGATAATGATTGAAAAACTGCAAAGTATGAATGTGTTAAAACGTTTGAGAGTTGAAATAATGGAGAATATTAATGTAAATATCAAAGCTACAACAAGAGATCTACGAGGAAGACCCTTGATCCTTCAAGATCTCTAACATAAAAACTCGGGAGGTGACTAAAGTTACTCTGCTTAAAAATATTATTAAAAAGAAGATTGTGTTTTACAAGTTCAAGCTGATTGTGAGCAATGTTTTTTAGTGCTAGTAAGAATGATGGAGTGTACGTGTGTGCAAGAGTAAACAAACTTGTCTTTTATACATTAATGATCTAACTAATTAAGCTAAAAATCTTGTATCTTCCCATATCTTCGCTTTGACCAAGTATTTTGTGAAGACTCGAGGTCTAGTTTTATTGATCACATGCATAATTGACATAGTCTTCGTCATGTGAAGTAGTATTTTAAACCTGCATGACAAAAATACAAGAGATACAGTGATAATACCAAGACACTGGTCATTCAGGATCTTGGGCCACTCAAGATGTTAGTCAGTATTCGAACATAAAAATAAAACTACAAAATACTATCCATAACAATTGCCCCTGAAAATTTTTCTTTCAAGATCTTGGAAGATGGAGATTTCTAAACTTGAAATCATGTCGTTAGGTGGTGATAGGACATGAAACTTTTATCTAGATAAATCCCATCCGTTCAACTTCCTAGGAAATTTAAATTTTCAAAGGCCGGGATTTTCATTCAAATCTTCCTATAAATTCAAACTTTGTTCATATCTCCAAATACTTGCAGTCAAGAAGATTGTTCAACGCCTTAGTTCAAGTTGTCTCTCCATTTTCTTTATCGTTCTTCTTCTTTCGTTTTATCATTATGGGTAAAAAAACTCACCATCTTAAAAGCTAGGGTTGAGGGACCTGTGTTAGAAAAGTTCATTGACTCGGGTATATTGGCCTAAGATGAAAATGAAAGTTGTGCTTTCTTGAACTCTGATATCAAGTTACTTCGATCATAGGGAATGTTTGATGGAGATTAGTTCCCACAGCCATAACAAAGCCCGATAATATTACTATAAATAACAATGTTCTTTTGAGTTACACGCAAGAATAAAAAGAAGTAGATATGTAAAGATATTTATTTGAGGGATTTGTTTTGTTAATTAATTAATAATTTACTTAATTAATGGTAAATAAATGGAATATGTAATATTTCAGAATGATTTGAATACCATATATAATTATAATTATATTTGATATTTATCTCTAGGGTTTCAAATCACCTCTATATAAATAGAGAGCTTAGTTTCGGTTTTGAAAGATAAGAAATACACCTCTAAGCCACAAAAGTTTGGAATACTCAAACCCTAAAGAAATGCCGAATCGTCATAACCATCTGATTGTTACGTCATGACCGAAGAATAGAATCGAGGTTTTGATTCTATTTGAGCTCGAAATTCGAGGATTGCTTGGATATGATTCTTGTTTGCGTCTTGGGTGCGATCACAAAAGAGGAACTCTTATTTGGGTTCTCTAGTTCAATCTACTAGCTAGAAAAAAGAAGAAACCAACTAAGAAATCAATGTTTTCTTTAGAGATCTACTAAGTTACATAGACTAGATAGTTTAGATTCTTCAGATTTCGAGTTTAGATCAAAATTGTTTATAGTTTTCGCTGACATATATTTGATCTCGTGAGGCTCAAAACACATCAGTGGTATCATAGTAGGTTAAATCAAGTCTATTGGACTTAGACTTTGTCTTTTGAGTATGTTAGGGTTTGTATGTGCAGGGATTCTGCTTTAAATTGTTTAAATGTGAAGAAATTTTCCTTAATTAAAATTGAATTTAGTAACGCATTAAAAATCAACGCTTAAGTGGATTTGCCTCTTCGCCAAAACGTGGATGGTCCTCCACCATGTTGCTGTATCTACCTGAATCGCGACTGACTTCGTCGCCACGACGCGATCATCTCAGGTTCACGTCATGACTTGTATGTGCTCAGGAATGAATGAGTGTCTTCACGGCAGGTAGCCGTTGGTCAGGGAGCTCGTTATGGTCAATGTTTCTTTCAGGTTCGCCAATGTTCCGTTTATGAGGCGGTTGGGTCGTTTGGCTCAAGTTTTGGTTGTTGAAGGATTTGCCA